GATCAGCTATCTCTTACACCCCCCCCACTGAGGATGTGCCTGCAACCAAAGTACATGCCCTTGGCCAGAATCGAACCTGGGACCTTTCAGTCCACAAGCCAACGTCCTATCCACTGAGCCAAACCGGTTTTTATGTGTTTACTTTTACATTCATTCAAGTAGAATGCAATCGTGATGTTCAATACATACAGGTATACAAATGAGATTATCAATGATGAATTTAAGTATTTCGAAAATTTTAGGCCTGGCCATCATGGCTCCGTGGTTGAGCATTGACCCATTAACCAAGAGAACACAGTTTAATTCTTGTTCAGGACACATGCCAGGGTTGTGGATATGTGGAAGTCAGCCTGATCAATGATTCTCTCATCATTGATGGTTCTATCTCTCTCTCCCGCTCCCTTCCTCTCTAAAATCAATAAAAATATATTTAAAAAAATTTAGGTCAGTCATTATAATTCTACTGCAAAAAAAGTAGGTATTTACTGCACATCCTATATAATAAAATCATAATATGCAAATCAACCAAACGTTGGAACAACCAGCAGAAAACCTGGGCGCTATGATGTGCGCTGTACACTACAGGGAAGACACTCAATGCAGGATCTGCCCCGTGATGATCAGTGCACCCCCATAGGGGGAGCACTGCTCAGCAAGAAGCAAGGATCATGGCTGACAACCCCAGCGGTGGTGGTGGAGCTGCTCCCTCCCCCATAGCCTTGCTAAGGATCAGCAAGCCGATCGGTAAGGAGCAGCACACAGGCAGGCAGTAAGGAACAAGGGCTCCAGACTGTGAGAGGGCACAGGCTAGGCTGAGCCTCCCCATCCCCACCCGGACCCGCCCCCAACCTCCTTGTAAGAGTTTTATGCATCAGGCCTCTAGTTTATTTATAATTTCTCTCATTTTGCAATGCAATATTAACCTGTATTTTTAAATATTACAGAAGGGAGTTTTCTTTTATCTATTTGTGTCATAAATTAATTTTTACATAAAAAAATTAACTTTTTTTCACTTTTTTGTTTTATTAAAGTCACTAATTTTTTAAATATTTTTCTTTTTTATTGAATTTATTGGGTGATACTGATTAACAAATTATACAGATTTTATGTGTACAATTCTACAACACATCATCTGTACACTGTATTGTGTGTTCATCACCCAAAGTCAAGTTTCTGCCCATCACCATTTATCCATCCTATACCCTCCCCCACCTCTCTTCATCCCATCCCCTCTGAAATCACCACACTGTTGTCTGTGTTCATAAGTTTTTCTTTTTTCTTTCTTTTTTTTTTTAATCCTGTCACTCCCCTCTTCCCTGTCAGCCTCCTTACCCCTACCTTGAGAGCTGTCAGTTGCTATCTGTGAGTCTGTTTCTTTTTTGTTTGTTTATTTAGATTCCACACATGAGTGAAATAATATGGCGTTTGTCTTCTTACTGGCTTGTTTCACATAGCATAATACTCTTCAGGTACATCCTTGCTGTCCCCAAAGGAATAATTTTCTTTTTTATGGCAGACTAGTATTCCACCGTGTAAATGTGCTATAGCTTTTTGATCCCAATGATCCAAAGATTTATCTAGGAATGAAGAAATTTTAAATGTAACAAAGAAGAACCTGTAGGCACTGTATTACAGCAGAGCTGTTGCAAAAAAGTCCAAAATTGTGCTGATACTAAAGTTTTTTCAACTAAGTATCCACACTTCAGTGACACACTATGTTGCATGGACAGCACTGATTACAATAGGACCTGTAGCCAAGCAATTTTTATACCCAGGAAAAAAAAGATTCTGATTTTGGAATTCTCATAAATAGCAGCAGTTCTCATAAACTGGATCATAATTTACTAGTGCTTAATATTTTTTTGTTATGTGAATGTTAAAGTAGCAGCAGATGATCAGCAAAAATTAGCACAGGCTATAAACAAAAATCAGTTAGGAAACACAAAAGTAGTTCAAAAATACCCAAAGACTGCAGGTGTAAATAAGATATTGGGAAATATTTTACTACTCTGTTTTATGGAGGAAGGGGCATCTGAACTTTTCCATGCTGGACTTACTTTTCCTGGACCCCTCATATAGTGCCTACTCCTTCCTCAACCAGGAGAAGTTATTATTCTGATGGGTTAGAAGCAGAAATTTTGGGGAGCCGTATTTTATAAAGCATATAGTCACCTTAATGGTGGATCCTCCGCCTCCCCCTATTTCTAATTTATCTTCCTCCCTTTTTATAGGACTCAGTCAACCAGATTGTGACAGCTTTTCTTTCTCTAGATGTGTCTGGTTTAGGAACTTGGACCCAGGTTAGTGAGTCCTGGCTATTCTTTCTCTGAACAGCACCCAGAAATCACACTGAATAGGCCCATTTCAAAAATTAGGGAAGTAAGAGTGGCCTAGATTACTTGGCAAACCTCAAATGGCATGACTTGTTTCAGACTGTCATCAATTCCTGCTTACCATACTGTTAGAATTTTATTCCTTTCTAAGAACATTCAGTGTGCACCGTGTCTTCAGGAATCCTGCAATGAGATGGAGCCAATGACAGGGCAGAGTTTGGTGATTTTGGTATCCTTCTGCAATATCACTGTGACACCAAACTTTACATTATACCTCTTAAATATATTCCATTCTGATCACAATGTTAATTCCAAAGTTACTGTTAAACATAACTGTTCTACTATTTTATTTAGCTCCTGCCTTCTATCTTTTGGTTTGAATTCATAGCTGAGATAAATAGGAGCTATCATAATGGCTTACATGTCACACAGGAATTTATGTAATTAATACCTAGATAGCTGTGCACTATTAAGATGCTTAATCTAACCTTTTGTGGAATCTGGGCAAGGACTGATGCAATCACATTGGCTCTTTCTTCTGACATGTTTGAGATGACTGATCCCAAAGTAAACACGACAATACCATGTTTTCCAGAGCTCTGGACAAATTCTTCCATCTCCTGTAAAGAAAAAAATTGCTCCATCACAAAAGAGTAATAGCATAGCAAATGCCATTGAAAGGAATGCTTTCAAACAACTAATGAGAGAAAAATCAAGTATTATCTGGAGTTATGAGTACTTATTTTTTATAAGTTGTGCTAAAATATACATAACATAATATTTACCATCTTAACAGTTCTTAAGTGTACAATTCAGTAGTACATATATTCACTATTGCACAAACAAACTATCAAACTTCTGCATCTTGCAAAAATGCAACTGCACCCATTATACAATTATTTCCTCTTCACTGGTCCTTTGTAATCAAGATTCTATTTTCCATTTCTATTTACTAGACCATTCTGGTTATATAATATATGTGGAATCATACAGTATTTGCCTTTTGTCAGTGACTCACTTCATTTAACATGGTATCCTCAGGATGTATTAGAATTTACTTTCATTTTAAGGTTGAGTAAAATATCATTGTACGGTAATACTGGATTTTGTTTATTGGGTTGCTTCCACTTTTGAGGTTTGAACAGTGGTGTTATGAATATGGATATGCAGATATATTATTGAGATTATGATTTTAATTCTTTTGGATATATACCAAGAAGTGGAATTGTCAGATGATATGATAATCCTACTTTTATTTTTTGGTGAGAATCTCCATTGTTTTCAGTAGTTGATTTTTTAAACAGACTCAAAATTTCCATTGTCATGGAAGGATGTATGTTATATGAGATTGCTTTTCTTTATCATGTATATTTTTGCAATAAATATATGATATATATCTCTATCTCTATCTCTATCATCTCTATCTCTATCTATACTATATCTATATCTATATCTATATCTATATCTATATCTATATCTATATCTATATCTATATCTATATCTATATCTATATCTATATCATCTATATCTATATCTATATCATCTAAATCTATATCTATCTATACCTATATCTATATCATCTATATCTATATCTATATCTATATCTATATCTATATCTATATCTATATCTATATCTAAACTATATCTATATCTATCTTCAAGAAATGAACTAGAGCCAGTACACAGAAGTTTTGTGCACTAGGCCTCTAGTATAAGCATAATAAGCTAATTAGACCAGATGTCCTTCCAAAGAAGCTGGGGCTTCAAGGGAAGTCCGGATATCATGTGCATGCCTGCGGTCAGAGGGAAGCCCAAGTCCCCGGGGCAGAGGGAAGCTGGTGCCGGCAGCCAGGGGGAGGAAGGCCTACTCTTGCACCAATTTTGTGCTTTGGGCCTCTAGTGTACCCTATAAATATCTTATAAAAATATATGTCAATAACATGTCAATAAAGCAAAAAACAGTAGGATTTGATTGAATCGAAATTCTACAAATTTTACCTCAGGCTTTAGATCTTGTGAAAATTATCACATATGGCTAAACATTTTTAAGTATTAGTAGAAATTGGGTTAACCCTTAAATAAGAAATCTCTTTTATGTTGCTGTCAATCAAATGGTAGAAAAAAAGGATATCTTAGGAGATAATAAAATAATTCAATAAAGGATGCTTATTTTGTAATTATGTCTTAAGATATTATATACATTTAAAGCATATTAGATTCTTGCTTTTCTTCATAAGGAATATCCTACATGCTGACAATCACTTTGCAATTTTGTACTATTGGTGATTTTCAGATGAAATTGGTATATTAAATATGCAGGATTTTGCGTCTTATTAGACGTGCAGTGTGCATTTTCTTTGTGCTCATGTTGTCAGTCAGCTGTAATGTCAATAATCATGTTCCCCCCAGGATCTTTCCTGAGATTTTCTGCAGAATTGGTGAATGTCAGAAAACACCTGCTTTATTAGGCTATGCAATTACTTTTTATGCTAGGATGTCAAACCAGGTCTAAAATGGGAAATCTTTTAAATGCTGGAATGACAGTAAGTAAATGTTGGGTTTTGCTGCCAATATTGGTGGAACACAATTCATATTGTTGAGGCATTGTCTTTCTTCTAAGGCAGAATACTAGTGAACATCCTCAAAAGAAAACAAAGAAGAATAGGTTTACCTATTATAGGTAATAGGCAGAGGTTTGGCAGGCTTGCAGTGGAGTCCTCCAACAAAATCAAAATGTGGTAAGACTGGGCGAGGAAATTCAAAATCCCAATAGGTTCGAATGAGCCATATTTCAGCTTTCTCCATCGTCTCATATAATATAGTGGGTCTTCCTGAAGGGGAAGCAAACAGAGGAAATGAGAGCATTTTAATGTAAGTACTATACTAGGACATTTTCTGAAAGGTGCTGGGGATAAGGTAGCCCAAATGCTTTAAAGTGTCTGTGGTTTGATAATATGAATATTTATGTGTATGCTATATATATATATATATATATATATATATATATATATATATATATGCATACTCATCATATAGGTGATAAAATATATAAAATTTGTAGGTTTTATGTTTATGCTGAAATAAATAAGGCAAAGTGCTAGAGACTTATCTCTAATGTGACATCAGTACATTCACAATGATAAACAATTAAGTGTAAGCCACTATAGAATTAAACATATTTAATGTAGTTTGTAAAACTACAAAAGTAAGAGATGTAAATGTACACAAATATTTGAACTCCCTAATAAATTAAGTAATGGACATATGTTGCCTTATAAATACTCAGCTTAGTTTCTGCAATTTAGCAAGCTATTCCCTGAATACTCAGTTTTCTAAAAACTGTTATGTTTTTGAAGTATATCTTAGTTTCTGACACCTATAATTGGATTTTATTCACTTTTGGAATTGAATAATATATATATAGTAGAGGTCCTGGGCATCAAATTTCATGCACTGGAGGGGGATCTCTCAGCCATCCTGCCCAATATCACCATCTTAGAGCCCTCAGGAGCAGAAGGTGACTCAGTGATCAGGGGAAGGCAACGCCTCATCACACCTCTGCTGCTGCCACTGCCAGCAGCACTAAACTTAGCAGGTCCAGGTTATCTAAGACTTGGGCGGCCCTGGGTGGCTGGGTAGCCACCCTTTGAGACTTGCCTGTGCCTCAGGCTAGCCTTGGGCAGCTAGGCAGCTGCCATATGAGGCTTTCCTGCATCTCTGGCTGGCCATAGGCAGGTGTGGGCCTGAGGGGACTTGAGGACTCTGGAGGCAGGTGCAAATATCCGCAGGCCCGGGCCCGGCCTAACTGTATGCCTGCCACCCCAGTGGGGGTGAAGGGACTGGGCACAACCATCTTGTGGCTGTGGGTGCCAACATCTTTGAGGGTATGACGGTCAATTAGCATATTCCTTCCTATTGGCTATGGTCACTACTATCTATGCAACAGCTTGAGGTCAATTAGCATATTCCCTCTTTATTAGATAGGATTTAGTAATAATATTTGAAAATAACACCTGGTAAGTTTTCATAAGATATGGAAATAGATGTGCTATTTTGGCTCATTTTGTCTGCAATGAAAAGTTACAGTTTTACAAACACAGACGAATAACTTTATTGTCCACACATCAAAATGATTTTCAAACTTTAAAAGAGATTGTAAGCACTGAGTGAATGAATATGTAGTTATTAGATATTTTGAATTATAGGTTCTTGAGTCATATATAAAGATATATAAAGAACTAAGAGGAAGGAATGCATACCAATCACTAAAGAAAAACAGCAAACCACTAGGGAAGAATCAAGAGAAGATTTAATGCTCCAATAGAAAGATATAAGGTGACCCTGACTAGCTTGATTAGACTCAGTTAATTAGAGTGTTGTTCTATGCATGAAAAGGTTGCATGTTTGATCCCTTGTTGGGGCTTGTATTGGAGGCAACAGATGATCTATGTTTCTCTCACACATCAATGAGTCTCCCTCTCCCCCGCTCTCTCTCCTTTCCTATCCCTCTAAAATCAATAAACATATCCTCAAATGTAGATTAAAAAAAAACAGGGTGGCTGAAAAGGTTAAAAATTATGTCCTATCTATATGCTTTGGAGCCATTATTTCTTCCCATTGTGAAAGAGATTTTTAGGTAACATTGCAGTTTAATTTTAAAATAAAGAAACTGAGGAGAAAGAAGTGGAAACAATTATCTCAAAGCTCAATGGGCAGCTATGGTATAAATAACTTCTCAATGTGCTTTTCTGATTTGATTAAGATATTTAGTCAAATTTCTAATGTCTTTTCCTTAAGTTGAAATTATAGTAAAGTAGGTATTTTGTAAATAAGTACAGCACAGAGAATTATTAGAGTAGTGAAATTACTCTGAATAATTAATTTCATTATAAATTGTTTGTACAATCCCTCCTCCTGTGGCACTAGCAAAGTTAGGATTTTAGCTACCAATTAAAACATGACTTACCTAGAACATCACTATAAAATTGATCCCACTTCTTCAGATTATATGTTTGGAACCAGAAGTCAAAGTAAAGCATGTAAATCATATTTTTTACTCGCTCCATGAATGTCATGTGATCACTTAATTCTGACAAGATAACAGGTACGTAGGATGGAGGCAAAGGAAGTCCTCCACCGAACTTTTCAATGTTGTAGCCAGGAGAGAAGCGGAGACTGTACACAAAAGGTATTTTAAGTAGCTCAGCCAGCAGCTCTCCACAGGGTCCAATGGCATCTGCAAGAACGACATCAAACCTTGATTCCTGTAGTTTGGTCATAAGTTTCTTGTTCAAAACTACATCTTTACAGAGTGTTTGAATATAATCACAATATTCCCCAAGGATATCTTGCATTAATGAAAAATAAGTAAAAAATGTATCTTTTCTCGCATGTGACCATTTAGTGATAGTCTGCATGAGAAGATCCTCAAAATCATCTTTTGTTAAAGATGTAGGAAAAATCTCAAATTGAATAGCAGATGGTTTATTGGGATCAACAAGAATTGAAGCTGAGGAGGTCAGAACAGTCACTTCATGACCTCTCTGCACAAGTGCATCCAGGACTGTCTTCATGTTGATCCAATGGCTGTATTCTGTGGGCCACACCAGCACCTTCCCACAGCCCCCAGGGCTGAAGTGGCAACTCAACTGGAGCAGCAGCAGAACTGAAGTCCACTTCCTAGGCATCCTGGAGGCACACAGGATGTTTTCAAATGGCTGATCCCTTTCCCATGGCTCATGCTTATGTCCAAAGGTACATCAATCAGGAAGTTAAAGTGTAACCCACACACCCAAAGTAAATATATTTTATGAACAGTCAAACCATTTGTATGGAAATGGAAAAAGTAAATATAGGTGATAAGGAAGTGGCTTTAATATCTGTTTTATGATTATAAGCATTATCAATGACCTTGTATTTGCAAGTCTTCTGTTTTATTTTCACTTAAAAGTAGAAAAGGGAAGATCATAACCAGAAGTAAGAAAATATGAGAAAGGAATAAAAAACTCCACAGGCAAAGCCAAGTATTAATAAAAACATCATATTAGACTTTTAAAAAAACTACTGAAATGGTGAAAAGAAAAAAAGGTATGTAACTCAACTCAAAATACAATAAGTAATTAGGGGATACACAACACAAAAAGATCTAAATCATGACATCAACAATATCAAACATGGATGAAAATTTAATTGTTGTACAATACTAGAGGCCCAGTGCATGAAATTTATCACTTGGGGGTGTAGTGGGATCCCTCAGCCAGTCCTGCACCATCTTGCAGGCTGGGAGCCCTCAGGGAACATCCTTATTGCTGTTGCAGATGCAGGAGAGGCTCTGGCCACCACCACTGCACTTGCCAGCTGTGATAAGATTTCTGGCCCAGTGGCACTCCCTTAGTCAAAGTGCACTGACCACCAGGGGGCAGCTTCTGCATTAAATGTTTGACTCCTGGTGGTCAGTGTGTCTCATAGTAACTGGATACTCCACCTTTGAGCCAAATCAGCTCTCTGACAACCCGCAAGGTTTCCCAGAATGTGAGAAGGTGCATGGCAGACTGAGGGACCCCACTTGTGCACAATCAGGGCCAGGGAGGAATATGGGATGTTGGCCAGCCTGGGAGGGACAATGGGAGGGTTCCAGGGCATGTCTGACCCATCTTGCTCAGTCCTGATCTGACGGACCCCAGCAGCAAGCTAAATTACCAGTCGGAGCATCTGCCCCATGGTAGTCAGTGCAAGTCACAGTGAGCAGTTGAGTGGCCTCAGTATATCATTAACATATTATGCTTTGACTGGTTGAATGGGCAACTAGACAACCAGACACTTAACATATTAGGCTTTTATTATATAGAATATTTGAACTTAAATGCATATTAGCTAAAAAGAGAGTGCTATAGATATTGAATGATATATGTAAACCTTATGATGACCACAAACAAAAACCATAAAAAAGATTTATAAAGAACTAAGAGGAAGGAATACACATAAAACACTAAAGAAAAACAGCAAACCACTAGGGAAGAGATCAATAGAACAAGAAGTGATCAGAGGAGAAGTATAAGAACACTAAAAAACTTAACTAAATGGTAATAAGTAAATACTTATTAATAATTACTTTAATGTAAATTGATTTAATGCTCTAGTAGAAAGATATATGGGGACCCTGGCCAGGTGGGTCAGTTGATTAAAGTGTTGTCCTGTGCATGAAAAGGTTGCATGTTTGATCCCTAGTTGGGGCCTGTATGGGAGGCAACAGATGATCTATGTTTCTCTCACACACTGATGTGTCTTTCTCTCCCTCTCTTTCTCTCCTTTCATATCCCTCTAAAATCAATAAACATATCTTCATATGTAGAATAAAAACAACAACAACAAAAAACAAAGTATGGCTGAAAAGGTTAAAAATTATGTTCTATCTATATGCCTCTTATAGGAAGCACTTCAAAGACAAATATAGACAGAAAATGAAGGGATGGAAAAAGATATTCCATGCAAATAGAAATGAAAACGAAGCTGAGATACCGATGCTTATATCAGACAAAGTAGACTTTAAAACAAAAAAATGCAAAAGAAAGGCAAAGGATATTACATAATTATAGAGGTCAATCTAAGAACAGAATGTAACATTTGTTTTGTTTTTTTGTTTTGTTTTTAAAATATATTTTATTGATTTTACACAGAGAGGAATTGAGAGGGACAGAGAGTTAGAAACGTCGATGAGAGAGAAACATCAACCAGCTGCCTCTTGCACCCCCCCCCCCACTGGGGATGTGCCTGCAACCAATGTACATGCCCTTGACCGGAATCGAACCTGGGACCTTTCAGTCCGCAGGCCGACGCTCTATTCACTGAGCCAAACCGGTCCTGGCCAGAATGTAACATTTGTAAGTATCTTCACACCCAACATAGGAGCACCTGAATATATAAAGCAATTATTAATGGATATAAAGTGAGAAATCCAAAGTAATACAATAATAGTAGAGGATTTTAACACCACATTCACATCGAAGGATAAATGATCCGGACAGAAAATTAAAAGCACTAAATGGCTTAAAATGTCACATAAGATGATATTGGGTTAATAGATATTTATGGAACATTTTATCCCCAAATTACATAATACACATTTTTTTTTGAAGTACACCTAGAAAATTTTCTAGGATAGATCACTTATTAGGCCACAAGACAGCCTCAAAAAACTTCAGAAGATTGAAATTATATCAAGCACCTTTTCTGACCACAGTGGTACAAAATTAGACATCAGCTCAGGAAGAAAACTGGAATGAAAACAAATATATGGATACCAAACAACATGGTACTAAACAACTAATGGATCAAGAGCAAATCACACAAATAAAAAGTACCTTAAAACAGAGGAGAGAGGACCAAAATGGTGGCATAAGTAAACACCTGTACTCACCGTCTCCTCCAAGCTCATCAAAATTACAACTAAAATATAGAACAACCATCATTCAAAACTGCCTGAAAGCTGGCTGAGTGGAAGTCCTACATCTAGAGAAGTAAAGAAGAGAGTACATTGAGACTGTTAGAAGGAGCAGAGGCACATAACAGTTTGGTCCACTGTCCATATGTGGCATTTTTCCCCTAAAATAGGGATATTTCAGCTGTAGAGACCCCCCCATGAATAACAGAGGTCCCAGATCCACATCAGACCCCGAGACCAGGGTTCCTGAACTGGAGAGAAAAGTCTCCATAACTTCAGGCTGCAAAAAGCAGCAGGGATTATGGCTGAATGAGATGGCTAAGATCCAATAAGTTTCTCTTGAAGGAAATTATATGCATACTAGGGGCCCAGTGCATGAATTCGTGAACCTTGAAAGGAACTGTGTTGCTGCAGTGGGCACGGGTGGGTCTTAGCCCAACCTCTTCGCTGCTGTCTGGCACCCTCCACTGCCTCCCCTAGTCTCCTACCTGGTGGCAGCCCTGCTCCAGCTGAAGCCACTACCAAGTGCTGATGGCGCTGACCCTTTTCGCACCTGCTAATGGCCCCAAGCAATCGGGACCAGTGCCAGGTGATGGCAGTGGGTGCAAGGGGGCCAGCACTGGCATCAGGTATGAGCACAGGGTAGGACAATGATGCACGGGAACAAGGACTTTTCAGTAACCACCAGAAACTTGCCCTGATGACAGCAACCAGTGCCCCACCATGGCCTGGTGCTTCCACTCACCTGCTATACCATCCCACTGCTGCCAACACCCACCATGTTCCACATGTGTCCCCTGGTTGTCAGCACACATCATCCTGACTGGTTGTTGGGTTTTTCAGTTACTCCACCTTTTGGTCTATTTGCATTAGGGTTTTATATATTAATATATAGACTAGAGGCTCCACACATGAAATCTGTGTGTGGGTATGGACCCCAGACCTGGCCAGTGATCAAGGCCATCTTCCTAGGTGTCCGTAGCCAGGCTTGACCCCCCAGTGGCCACCCACCCCTGGCTCCCCATTCGCCAGCCCCAAGCCTGCCATGTTTTGTATTGTCCCAAAGTTCCCTTAGGCTCTCCTGCTTTTTAATTTTTTTTTCCTAGAAGCTGCTCTAATTGGCTATTTTTTTCCATCTTGTCTTCTAGCTCACTGATGCAGTCCTCTGCTTCTTCTAGTCTACTCTTGATGCTTTCTATTGAGTTCTGCATAGTAGTGATATCATTTTTCATTTCTTCTTGGTTCATCTTTATTTCCTCTTGGTTCTTCTTCAATTCCTCTTAGTTCTTCTTCATTTCCTCTTGTTTCTTACTCATATCATCAAATTTCTCTTCCATTCTTTTTAGCCATCCTCTGATCATTACTCTGAATTCTTGCTCTGGTAAGTTGCTTGCCTCTAACTCGTTTACTTCCATTTCTGGTGATGCCTGCTTTTCTTTCATGTGTGGGCTATTTCTTTGTCTCCCCATGGTCTCTCTTTTCAGGATGTCTGGTTATGTGGTATTCCTTCTCCTTTCCATGGGTGATTGAAGAACTCCCTTGAATCCACATATTTGTGCCAATTGGGGTATCACAGCTACTCGATTGACTTCTCTGCTGTGGGTTTTGCAGGCCTCAAAGAAGATCCTCCTTTCCTGGTAAGATGGTGCAGCCTTCCCTCTGAGCCCGTAGCTCTGGGAGAGGTCTCCGCATCCACAGTGCTGGTTTCTTGGTCAGGAAAATCCTGTCCAGCAGACCCTTCCCTACCTTCCTTTAGAGTTCTCCTGCCCCTTAGCTGCCAATCAATATTCCCTGAGCGACTCAGATGCTGCTTTTATCTGTTCTGGGACCAGGGTCAGAACAAGTCCATCTGTTCGGTTGCCATCTTGTCTCTCCTCGGATTTTCCCCAAGCCTGCCATGGTTTGCCCTCTGTGTGGGGTAACTGGGGCTTTGGTCTGGCACCACCCACATCCCCTATCATGACACCTGGTTACATGTTTGCCATTAGGCATCTGAGCCTGCTATCTGGGGAAAGGGATTGTGATGTGGTCATTGCACCTCTTACTGACTGATCAAGCGGTCATTCTGGTTATACTTCTGTAAGGGTAAATTTGCATATTAACATTTTATTATGTAGGATAGAGGCCTGGTGCACGTGTGGGGGCCAGCAGGTCTCTTCAGATGGGGGCCCCGCTGGGAGGTTGGGCTGGCCCAGGCAAAAGTAATGGGCAGTTTGCAAGCCAGTCATATCCCCAATTGGGGTGGGG